TTCTGGGACCTCTCCACGGCGATCCTCATCCACATGGTGGCACTTTGTGTCATCTGGTGTTTATCGCTTGTGTGATGTCCTGGTGGGGTAGAAAGTCAGTCAGTCAGTCAGTCCCACAGACTGCAAATCTGCACAGAGAAAAAAAAAAGGGAGGGGGAGGGATAACATATGAAAATAAAATTAGAGGCTTGCTAAAATAGGTTGTGCTGCACCATGATATAGCACATGATTGTTGTTAACCACAACGAGCCAAATTTCCTTTTGAGAGAGAATAGAGTCGAAGAAGGAGAAGATGAAATTAATATTGTAGCAGTTTTCCGTGACAATAGCCAGCCAGGTTCTTATTTTTCCTCCCACAAGAATGACGTCATGGAGACATCAAGATGGCGTCTAAATTAATAATAGTCTTTGTTTATTACATGAATATCGTATTTCTGACTTAAGCCACGCACATTAGGATACTATTTGTTGTATTGGGGCACTAAGGACACCGAAACAAGCACATCGACTACATTTAACTCGTCAACGCATCATAGGTACTGGTACTGTAATGTAAATCTAAATCTTATTTAGTTAGTTATCATATAGTAACTCTGTTGTCATGATTTATTCATTTTTTAAACAGTTTACTTGTTATTCACTTGTAAAGTCGTAGTAGTCTTATGATAATGTGGCAGCATATTTGGGCACGGCCCTTCTGAGGTTTCATTCGTTGGGAATAATTAGTGTAGTTGTAGTTAAAATCAGTTACTACCCCTACTGTTAGTGTTAGTACTTAGTACGCAGGGATGAATGAATCGGCATGCAGACTACTCTACTTCACTATTTTAATGTTGCTAATCACAGGCAAAGATCTATGTGCATGTGTGTATGCTAGAGAGAAAGAGTAGATAGATAGATAGATAGATAGATAGATAGATAGATAGATAGATAGATAGATAGATAGATACATAGAAAGAGCGAGAGAGACGTGAATAGTCAGTTCCTTATAAGACATCTTGGCTCTCCTTTCAATACCGGACGAGGGCTGGACGGCTTAGTTCAGTTTAGTGGAAGTTCTCTCCCTTGATCGCACTGGAAACAGTGAGCGGAAAAGTCACGAAACAAATCACATACTTACCTATCATCATACGGTTGCGTGTAGGGTTGCGTACGCTTGCGTGTAGGGTTGCGTAGTCATTATACGGTTGCGTGTAGGTTTGCGTAGTCATCATACTCTTGCGTGTAGGGTTGCCTATCATCATACGGTTGCATGTAGGGTTGCGTAGAGTTTGGGTTAGGGTTAGCGGTAGGGTTAGGGTTAGATGGGAAAATTTTGACGTAGGAGTTCCAAATACTGGCCGACAATCTGATGCTTGTGGGAGTGGCACCAATGAAATTCTGCCAAATATGACGGCAATAGCGCGCGGCTGGTGCCCAATCGGTGGCGAATTGTCCGTAGCACCCACAGTCCGTCGACTGTTTGGGTGTGTATGTGACTGTGCGCGATTATAGGGAACTCCTGCGTCACAATTGTCACATCTAACGCTAAACCTAACCCTACCCCTAACCCTATCCCTACCCCTAACCCTACCCTTAACCCTAACCCTACCCCTAACCACGCAAATTTATTGGTCATTTATTGTGACAAAACAACGGAATATTTCAGTCCGGCAAGAGTTAATTGCATTTCGTAGCTAGAAGAATTGCGCACTTAAAATAAACATAGTTGAACATAGATGCAAGAAGAGTAGAAAATGTACGAAGGCGCACATAATTCATGACGTTTTTGTAGTGTTACTAGGAGACACCCTTAGAGCTAGATTCAACGACTGCCCAGCCACACCATCGGCCTAACCCCAAGAAATCACAAATATAATATACGAATTCAGGTGAGATTTATAATGGTAGGGAGTAGCTGAGATCCCCTATAAGCCTTAGCTGTATCCTAAAATATGTTATCGAGATCCTACTATTCTATATTCTACAATCGTATAAATATTCCGTGACTTCATCAACCTTGATACTTGTCCGTTGGACAATTGTAACTATTTACTAGTCCCTACCTATTATGACGTTCTTAAAGTTACTATTCACAGTTAGGACTATGCAATAGCGAACCCTCCTTCCCTCTGTCATCTTTCCAGAAAATATTCATTCGGTCTACTTGTGTAAAGATCTTACAGAATAAACCATCATCCTGTGCCATGTGGTATCATCAGTTGGGTATACATTACATTGCCTATGTTTATTATATTATGCAACATATAATTTGAGTAAAAGTCGTCAGCTTTGTGGGCATATAGGGTTGGCCTATGTTTTATAGACCAAGTGGTACCTAGGTGTTGATGTGGTCAACATCACACCTGCTGCCTTTACCCTCCATTACTATACCTGGTGTCCGTTCAAGGCGAAGTCAACCTGGGTTTTGGGACTCGAACTAATAATACACATCGGCAAAAACCAAAAAAACACAAAACCCAGATTTCCCCGCAGCGTAAAAAAAAACCCCCAGATCTGGGGGACACAACCAAGCATTGGCAGCCCTGATGTCGACCTCACTGTCTTCTTTGATTCGTCACTTTTCCGCTCACTGTTTCCAGTGCGGCCAAGGGAGAGAACTCCCACTAAACTGAACTAAGCCGTCCAGCCCGCGTCCAGCCCTCGTCTGGTATTGAAAGGAGAGCCGACATCTTCATTACTCTTTTAATCTGTCCAGGGTATTCTCATCATTCACTCATAAAACCTAGTCTTCACCACTTTGAAATAATTGTTCACTATCATCCAACTATCATATAACAGGATAGGATTTCTAAAACTCTAGAATGTTCTTACTTGTCTCAATTGACAAGGAAAGATTGCAAAGAATAATGAATATTGAATATTCTTTATTTTGTTAAAAAAAAAACTTTTTTTTTGCAGCCATCTACATTAAACTTCTTAAATACATCTTTCATCTGCTGTTATCAAGGTACCTAAGTACTTAAATGTATCAGCTTACTTGAGGATTGCCCCTTAACTTTGATGCTCCATTTTGGAGGTTGAATTTCTTTGTAATTACATTTGCTTCTGTTTTTCTGCTGTTCAAAGACCATTGTTTTGCAGTGATTCACATGAACATAACTTTTCATTTAAAAAAAAAACAGTGATAGAGCTGTCTACTCCTCTTAACATCTGAAGTGGTAGAAGAGAAAATAAAGAAGAAGAAAACTTCTGCACCTGATTCTGCCAAAATATCTAGCAAAGCACTGCGGGTAGGCTATCACCAGGCAGAACTTCCATGAGAAACAGATGAAAACCAATTACTACCACGACTTCTCTTCTTTTAGATACCTCAGTAAGTGTTAGGGGGAGATGTAAGGATTATCTGTCAACTATTTTAAATGTGTTGTTTAAAATGGTCTTCATTTTTTTTAAAGGTTGTTCTTTATGCCATCTTGTGCATCGTCTTCCCCTGGCTCTGTGTTCATTATATTTCTTAAGTGTGGCTCTGGTTGGTAGCTGGTACCAGGGCATTCTCATCAGATAGCCAAAGTATATCATTTGTTTGCTGATAGCCAAAGTATATCATCTGTTTGCTTTTTAATGAATTGTATGATAGTTTCAGTTTTATTTTTTTTCTAATTTCTTCATTAGAATACCAGCTGATTAGATCAATTAAGCAGTAAAGCATTATTAAGCAGATAAAGTAAGCAGTCAAGATTTTCTAGACTTATCTCAGGAGAAATCAGCTTGGAAGCCCAATGGCAGCTGTCCTATTTGATTACAAAAGAGTAAGGAGACGACAGTTTAAAAAGTCTTGATGAATTGACCACAGTGCATTGGTGGGACAAGAACAGAGACCTGATTGGAGACTAGTTGTTGTGTGATATGGAGAAACGTGCATGTCCTGGCATTATAATCATCATCATCATCAAGTATCTTGCAGATTGACAAGGGCAGTTATGCTTCTCCACAGCCTGCAGCCTCTAACAGCATTCATCAGCTCATGTGCTGACACACTTGCATGCCATGAAAGAAAAGGCTATCAAAAATCTTTTTATTTTGTCTTCTCCTGTCTCTTGCTCCGCAAGTTTTTCTAAAGGTCTCACAGCATGTTCCAGTTTCCTTCTTCTCATAACATGGCCATATGCTACATGATGATAAGGATGTTTAATGGCAAGCTGCTTGGTTTTGGCTTTGAATTGAGAATCATTAATCATTGAGACAATATCTGTCTCTCATCTCATAAAATAATGACTAAGTAGATGTGACATTTGTTAGCATTTCATTCATAAACATACAGTAGTATCTTCTTATCTTTGTTCAGTTATTCATCAAAATTTTGGAGGAGAACGCAAGGATCTTCTATGTGCTCATTCTAATGCATGGTATGAGTTGATCCTCGTGTATTTAAGGTGGTTCCCGTTTTTTATATTTTGTGTGATTTTCCGCTTGCTCTGTACTCAATATATTTCTTCTGCATTGTTCTCTGTGGTACCAGAACATTCTTGTCAGATGGCAAAACCATTTTGTCTGTTGCTCTTTAATGAATTGGATGACTGGTTTCCATCCAAGTCTTCTTCTAATTTCTTCATTTCAGATTGTTACTCCACGAGCTTTTCTAAGACACCTTATGTCTGTTGTTATTATTTTGTACTTATTAGTTATAGCTTCTACATCAACATGGAATGACATTAGCCATTGCTGCCCATCAAGAATTGATCGCAAACTGTTCCTGTCCTCAACACTTAACGGTAGAAGTGAAAATTGATAATGATGGGTTATTGTAAGGGTCCATGTTTGACACTGGTAACATAGACGTGATCAAAAACAAGTACTTGTTAGATTTTCCTTGGTAAGCACAGGTATGCTTCTGTGTGTCAATAGTTTTATGTTGTCTTGTTGTTGTAGTATCTACTATACAGTAGGGTCATCCTAATGATTTTAAATAGTAAATTACTTTTTTATATCATAATTTTTCTTTCCTTTTCAGCATTTAGATGATTTGAGATTTTTCTGTGGCTTTCTGTGAGTTCAGGATGGCACTCATTTATGGTTTACTGTGTCTCCATGTTGTGGCTTCTCTTGACACTACTTTAGCGATGACCGTTGGTAAGTTATTGTTTAATACATTAATAGTGAAAGTGTTATAAATTGTCATGTTGCAGATGTAGTACAGAGATGTGTTAGTGTAACAGGCTTATTTATAAACATAAATATTATTAATATCAGAGCCTCTCAAAGTAAGATTGTATATATAATAAACAAACAGACATTGTATTGATCAGCACTTATAGAAAGACATAGAAGGATAGAAGGACACACTTGACAATATAAAAATCGAAAGCTATAGTTACCATGCCGGGAATCAAACCTGTCACTTCCGGATGGTGTGTGTGCCTCGCTATGAAAACAAGTGTACTAAGAACATGACAAGCTAGGAAGGTGTCTTCATTGGCCATGTCTGTCTTACAGCCTGGAATCCACAACTGAGGAATATGGACATAATTCATCCCAAAGCATTGAAATGGCACCATAGGTTAGATAAAAATGTATTTATATTAACCAATCATAGGTCGAATAACAAACACAGCAACAGTTAAAAGTATGAGTGTGACCTTTGGTTGGAGGTGGGAGCCATTGTTTTGTTTATGTGTATGCAAATGTTTATTTGTACGTAAAAATTAAACCTCAGGACAGTAGAGATAGGAAACCATCAGATTCACTGAGAAGAGAATTAGTAACAAAGATAAATAGTATGGTATGGACATGGAAGGAGTAGCAGGAGGTATGAACGAACGAACAAACAGACTTTCTTTTTAAAAGGTCACTACAGTAGAACCTCGCTTAACAAGCACAATTCGTTCCAGAATCATACTCGTTAAGCGAAACACTCGTTATGCGAAACAGTTTTTCTCACATAAATTAATGTAAAATACGATAATGCGTTCCATGTCGAAAAAAAAAAAATACTCACGAAATTCTATGTATAACGTTTATTCAAAGAAAATTAATCATCTTTTCTTCAAACGCGGAACGAACCCACCTGGAATGCGAATTCGATTTGCAGGGGAAAAAAACTCGAAATAATTATGTTACAAAGCTAAATATTTTTTTTTTACTAGAAAAGATGTCTAGAGACATTTGTTTTTGCCGACGCTTCAAAATTTGGCAAAAATGCGACACAGCATTATCATTAAATAAATTTGCAACGCGCATAGCCACTTCCTTATTAGGGTGATGCTTCTCAATGGAATATGCAACAGTTTGCCATGCTTTCAGCATTTCTCTTATTTCGCCAAAAGATTGTTGCTTTTCCGTTACCTCCTCCTCCTCCTCTGACAAACGTTTCTCCAAAACTTCTTGCAGTGAAACACAATGCAACTCATTAAGCTTTTGGGTGGTCAGCTCTTGGCTGTGCTCTTCCTCAAGCTCTTCAATATCACTGTTATCCACCTAAAATCCCCTGATAGGGGCCAAAGACACAATTTCGTTGACTACAGGTTCCACAGGTACTGTCACTGACACCTTAAAGTCACAAATCAACAACGCTCTCCGGCCAAAGCTTCTTCCAAACAGAAGTTAGGGTTCTCTTGGTAACTCCCTTCCCCGCCTTGTCGATCATCTTGAGGCAGGCAACGATGTGGAAGTGATTTTTCTAAAACTCTTTGAGATGTTTGCAGGCATCTTTCATTATGTTTATGTTGTCCGCTGGCATCTTTCATTATGTTTATGCTGTCTGCAGGCACCTTTCATTATGTTTATGCTGTCTGCAGGCATCCTTCATTATGTTTATTCTGTCTGCAGTTATATTTCATTATGTTTATGCTGTCTGCAGGCACCTTTCATTATGTTTATGCTGTCTGCAGGCACCTTTCATTATGTTTATGCTGTCTGCAGGCATCCTTCATTATGTTTATTCTGTCTGCAGGCTTATTTCATTATGTTCATGTTGTCTGCAGGCATCTTTCATTATGTTTATGCTGTCTGCAGGCATCTTTCATTATGTTTATGCTGTCTGCAGGCATCTTTCATTATGTTTATGCTGTCTGCAGGCATCTTTCATTATGTTTATGCTGTCTGCAATTACATTTCACTATGTTTTTGCTTTCTCTACAGGTATATTTCAGTGTCCTACACAGGCCCCACTGGAGAATGGTAACACTGTAGAGAACAAGCTGCCAACACACATGATGCATTACTCTTGCAAATTTGGCTATCATTTAGAAGGTCCACCCAAACAGGAGTGTGTTAATGGATCATGGACCCCTGCGGAGGCACCCTTCTGTGTTCCAGACAGTAATGAAGGTATTAGTTGTTTTTGTTTTTCATGTGTGTGCCATAAGGAGTTCATCACCTGGTCACTGCGCAGTCAGGTTTAACTAACTGAGCTAGCGAGCTGAGCTCTTATAATCATAGAGTGGTTAGTCTCCTCCTATCGCTACCTAATGGTCCCCCCCCCTCCCCCCCCCCGCCCAAAAATGGAGCCCCAGAACCCACATGTAGAGAGGGGGAAATTACAAGAAAATTATGTTTGTGTGCTATTTTCCCTGTTTTTGTTCCCCACAAGAAGACTGATTTGACATTAGATGAAATATTTTTCAATTGAGCAGATTTAATTTTTTTTGACTGTTTTTCTTTTCAGTTTCATGCATTTCTGGCCCAGTAATTCTGAATGCTAGAGTGGAATACAACAACGGGGACTTCACATTTCCAAAGGTGCAGGGAAGTGTAGCTACCGTGCTGTGTGAGCATGGCTACTCAAGTGAAGACACATTCCAAACAAGTTACATCATCATGTGTGGTCTCAGTGGATTGTGGGCTTTGCCAGATGGTTCAATCCGTCTGCCAGCTTGTACAAGTGAGAGCACAGTTTTTTTTTTTACTTGTTTCAGTGGGCATTGGCACATGTCTGGATTTATTAAGGCAGTTTCATAATTTTGACATGCTGGGTGTTTGATTTGGCACCTGACCTTTTTGCATAAATTTTGACAACAGTATGAGCATCTGCAATAGCATTCTTCTTCTTCACTTCTTGTTTTGCCACTCAGAGTGTCAAGGGAGATATAAGTCTCTGCTTCTGCTCCTTTGGCTGCCTCAACCATATACACCTCATATTGTCGTAGAGTTTCTTTAGGAAATTGCTAAACATAAAATTGCCTAGTAAAACCACTTGCAGCCAAATAAATTTGTGAGGTTGGTTTGTGACGTCCAGAAAGGATGTGCAACTAACTTTTGTTTTCCCCAACATTCTCACAGGTCAGTTGCTGTTAAATTTATTTTATTTATTTTTTTACAAAGTGTTTGCATCTGTTTGAGTCAGGTTTTTGTAGAGCAGTGTTCCTGAACCGTTTTACATCTGCGGCCCATCAGAACATGGGGATTTGTTTCACGACCCACTTCATTGCTAATTAAACACAAAAACAAAATTGATGCCTTGGAAGTTGAATTAAGAATTCGACATCATAGCACTTGGGGAACTCACATAAGCGCTCAGTCCCCCATCTTCACCTTTTCCCCTGAGTGTTGAGCATTGGCCAGATCCCCTGGTAACTCCCTGCAGCTCCACTCTCGGGCTGTAATGATCCATTTGTGCCTCCGTACTGTTTACTAGCACCCAAAGGGCCCTCACAACATCTAGCTTGTCCTACATGAATTCACTACCATGGGGTGCAGAACTGGCTAGTCTGTCTTCCTGCTCATTTCCTAACACACCAGCATCACCTGGAGAAAATATCCAAAAGGCGCTAACTACACGGGACCTTTGAAGCGAAAATTGACGCGTACAATGCCATGCTCGTTTGCAGGAATAATAAACCTGCTACATGAGTTACTATCGTTATTTCCTGCCAAGACTAGACTACGGGAGTCGCCATGGCCGAGCGGCTAGACGCTCATCGCGGATCGGAAGGTCGCGGGTTCGCTCCCAGGTCGATCCAGCCTTGAGTGGGTACCGGTGCAGTCCCGGGAAAGTAAAGGCGGCCGGCGTGATGCTGACCACATCACCCATCTTGTGCCGATTGGTCTATAAAAATATAGGTCTTGCCCTATATGCCCTATACGCCTAAAGGCGTGGAAAAGGGTCCTTTACTTTACTTTTTTATTTTTTAAGACTAGACTACAGGTTACATAACCATCAGGTGCGATATTAGTGTATTATTGTTTAAAAAATTTATTTTGTTTAAAAAAAAAACACACACACAATTTAAAAAACCCCCCATTGCTGCTGTATTTACTACTTTTGCAATGTAAGCAGAAGGGGCCTTCAGAAAATTTCGGGCCACAGGCTGTGTTAGGATTTCATTTTTGCCCCCAAAGAAAAAATCTGCAGTCTTACCGAGGATTCCAACCCAGGATTCCCCCTTGAGGACTCAGTATAAATAGCTTAAAGAAAAGGTGGATTTCTATAATTGTGCAGGGGTCTCAGGTCACCCAGCCTAAAATGAGTACCATGAAATATCAAGGGAATTGAAGGCAGCCGTGGGATGTTGGCCACATTGTGACTACTGTGAAATAATTAGCATAATTCTATTTTCTGCAGGAAAGCACTGTCCTCCGCCTCCAGAGATCCCTAATGCTTTAGTTCATTATGATACCTACAACCTGCTGATGAGCGAGGGATTTCAGGTTGAGTACATTTGTTCTAGCGGATACAGTCTCCTGGATACATCAAATGCTCGTCTCACCTGCCGGAACGGTCAGTGGGAAGGACCTGTTCCCACCTGTGGTACGTTGTTGTTTACTTCAACAGTAACTTTTTTTTTTTTTAAATTTCATGATATTTTGTTTTTTTCACAGAGACCACATCACAATTTACAAAGTTTGCAATAAAAATTACTGATCAGATAAAACTAAGACTGGATCCCACAACTCGGACAGGTCTGCTGTGGGGAACCTAAGAGACCTCTGGCTGACATCCCAGTTTATGGCCCACAGTGGATTAAGCACATGACCAGAGATCCCTGGAGAAGAAGAAGAAGAATAGCCTGTACTTTCCAGAACATTTCCTGGTACCCATTTTTAAGCTGAGCCAGCCTCAGAGCTGACAAGGTTTTTTTTTTTTTTTTTAATCAACACCTCATTAGATATTCAGACATTACAGATTTTCCATAAGCGAGCTTTGAGTTGAAATATTCCTCCGAAGTCGGAGTACATCTGCCGGAGAGGCGGGGAACGAGTACAGCAAACAAATAAGCCAGTAAAACGGATGTACACGCAAAACTCAGGTCAAGGTAAAAGCCAAAAGTCCATTTTGGACGAACAACCGTGACTTACCGCCGGAATTCACAGCCGGTGAACAAGAAGAAGAAGAAGAAAGAGTTGAAATATCAGACTAAAACATTGAATTTGGGCTTGAGTAAAGGGTGCAGATTTGCTGAATGACATCATGTGGGGTGCACAGATATTTAAACACATGACACCATTTCCAGTAGGCAAGCTTTGAGTTGAAATATCAGACTAAATCATTGAATTTGGACTTCAGAAAAGGATACAGAGTTGTTGAACGACATCATGTGGGGTGCACCAGGACCACTGGTCAAGATTAATCTGCAGTCATCATAGAACATAAGTTCCAAGATGTTCGCTGGGCCAGTATAGATAGGATCAATATTTCTTTTGAGGTCAGAGTGCATCTGACTGAGAGGAACCAACAATCTTTACAGAAATGAGTCAGATTTGCAATGCGCAATATTTAAGTCTTGGAACAAGGCCAAACTTTGCACAGAAGTTTACAGCCGGTGAACAGAACACAGAGAAGAAGAAGATGTGTGGACATGTTGTTTCTGTGGAATATATCTATTGGATGTGTTAATTATTGCTGTGTTACCATTCATTTACCTATTGAAGGCTTGCAGTTGTCTCTTTCTTATAGTCCATCACATGTGGCATTAGTAGTCATGTCTACTCACAACCTTCTGCCTCATATGCTTTCAATCAATTCTGAAAGAGATGATCTTCCCTGCCACAATGAACAATCTTCCAGCATCTTCTCTTTCAGTCTCCCTCTGCCTCTTTTCCCCTTCAGCTTTCACACCGTCATGATTTACTCTAGTTTTCTCCTTCTCATGATATGACCAGAGAATGTAGATTGTCTCATTCTGATGTGGGCAACCAGTTCTCTCTGTGAGTCAGTTTCTTTCAAACCATCTTCATTACTCTTTTTATCTGTTCAGGGTATTCCGATGAATAACATCTCCACTACTTGCAATTTTGTTTTCACTTTTAGCCCAATTATCCACGCTTCAATTCCATATATAAAATATAAATATATAAAATCTTAAATGTATTCTAACGTTTAATATGTTGAATTACCTTGAGGGTCTTACCTTTCTTATGTTATCATATATTCTTTTAGTGTTAAAAGCTAACTGTGAGCCTCCTGCTTATGTTCGTAACGGCAACTGGAATCTGGTGGTGAAAACTGGTCGCGATATCACCTTTGAGCAGCACGGAGACACACAGTACCCGAAATTTGAAGTGGGCACAGAGATCGAGTACAGCTGCAACCCCGGGTATAAACTGATTGGACACAGGGTGTTTGAATGTCTTCCTTCACAGATTTGGTCCAGCACTTCTCCGGAATGCATCCCAGAATCAGGTAAATATTGTGAGTAATTTGGTGCTTCGTAAGTATAGTCCTGTCAGTGTCGGTGATTGAGCTAAGTAATCTTTTTTCTTCTTCTTCTTCATTTGCCCTGAACTTTTTCAGAAATTCAGCAGTGTCTACAAGCTTTGGACAGAAGTCATATTAATAGCAGTTGAAATATAAGTGGTTAGCATAGCAGAAGAATTGGACATGAAAAGCGGAGGTGTTATTTTAGGAGTAGTAGAAATTTAAATGTTAACATAGTAGAAGAATCTGACATAAAACTGCGGAGAAGTCATTTTAGTAGTAGTAGAAATTTAAGTGTTAACATAGTAGAAGAATCTGACATAAAACTGCGGAGAAGTCATTTTAGTAGTAGTAGTAATAGTAGAAAAATAAGTGTTACTTAGCAGATGAATTAGACATGAAAAGTGAAGTTATTTTAGTAGCAGTTGAAATATAAGTTTTAACAAAGCAGAAAAATTGGTCATGAAAAACAGAGGTGTCATTGTAGTAGTAGTAGAAATAGAAGTGTTAACATAGCAGACAAATTGGACATAAAAAAGAAGAGAAATCATTTCAGTAGCAGTTGAAATACATTGCCAAATAGATGGACAAGAAAAGCAGAGAAGTCATTTTAGTAGCAGTTGAAAGACATTGCTGAATAATTGGACAGGAAAAGCAGAGAAGTCATTTTAGTAGCAGTTAAAAGACATTGCCAAATAATTGGATATGAAAAGCAGAGATGTCATTTTAGTAGCAGCTGAAATTTAAGTGGTTAACATAGCAGAAGAATTGGAAAGGAAAAACAAAGAGTTGATAACAGGCAGATGTCATGTTGTGTTGGGTTTACAGCCAATCAGCAACATCCGATTTCAGCAAGCTCCTAATTGGTCACCTTTTATGACATGCTTGTTAAGGATAAGTTAGTCTGTCCTTTTCCTTCCAGAATGGTTCCTCAGAGCACATACCTTTGAAGGGCAGGCACAGAAGAAGGGGGATTTAACAACTATTAGAGCCAGAAAGTAAAAGGTTTTGACTCCGAAAAACATGGTTCTTGAAAAGAAATCTGCCCGTCACAAAATTGTTAATTGTCCTGCTGCTGAATTTTGGCTCTTTTGACTAATGAGTTTGCCGACCACTGTTCTAGGCTATGATGTGAGGCGGAGTTTTTTCCCCAGGCAATTCCCCTATCATTTTGGAAGTTATTTTTTATTGCATTGAGCAGATTAACAAAACTAGTTTAAGAGAACAGAAAGCTCATGGTCGAAATAGAAACCCTTGTGTTCTCAGTACTCTTCTGTTCATTACTGAAACTTGGGCAAGAGAAATTGTTATACAGATTTCACCTGTGATGTCTGCGACAAATACTTGGCATTAAGTGGCAGGACCAGATCACACACACTGAGTTATTGAAAAGAGCAGGGATTACAATAGTTTTCTCAGTATTCTCAATACACAGTGTTTGAAGGTTCAGATGGCTGGGACATACTTGAGGAGTGGAGGATGGCGTAGAGTCCATATGGGTGTCCTGTACAGTGAATTACAGATGGGCAGAAGATATCATGTTTGGTCTCCACTGTGATATAAAGATGTGTGCAAGTGGTACATGAATGATGCCTATATTGAGGTAGATTCTTGGGACCAGGAAGCCACCTAGGGGACAGGATGCCAATTAAAAATCAGGAAGGGAATGGGTATAAAGGAAAACATTATTGCAGAAGGGTTAAGAACTGTGTGTCTGAGAAGAATTATGTGAAATACGATGGTGATCATGGCCCTGAGATACTGTGCTGTAATTCTTGAATTATTGAGTGAGTGAATGAGTTAAAAAATGACATCTCTGCACTCCGGACATTCCAACACGTGCTCCATCCCCTTCTTCAGTAGCCAACGAAGAGTTGGTATGCTAATGGTTTAAAAAAAAGTTAAAGCTGAGAGGATCGACTTCATTACACCAGGTTTTATCCTATATGGCTCGGTCTCTCTCCACAGAACGGATAGCTGCTTTCTGAGAGCATCGCACAGAGCACAGACTCCGTAGCTCCGACGATGATCCCCAGGGATCTCCTAAATGCTAATAGTACCAGTTGCAACCTGATTAAAAGTCCGCCTGTTTCCCCTTAATGTTGAATATCTTCCAGAACCTCTGCTCACCCCTTTTTGAGTTCAGATGTTACTTAACATGAGCAGGTCTTGCTTGTCACACGCTCCATGGGCTGTGAGTCTGTCTCCATTCAGTACAATGTGCCAGTGAAACTATCTGGTACTTGTTTTACATGTGAACTTCAGAGCCTTGTTGATTGGGAAAAAGTCTTACCACTTCTGGGGATCGGATTCTGACCACTCACTGTATTGAGAGGCAAGAACACTAACCACTATACCACTTCACCTCTTATATTAATATTCAACTTCTTCTGCTTCTACTTCTTCTGCGTTTCACTGTCATGTTGTGAAGAGGCATCGGATGTGAGCTTGATTTATGCTATGTAGTTGCTGGTAATTATAGCTTTGGATATTCCATCTATCCATTGTCTGCGTGATCAACCTCTAGGTGTATTCCTATTATGTCTAAGTGTCAGGGCTGTGTATGATGCACTATCTTGTAGTTTTCACACATGTCTAAACCATTTGATCTGTTGTCTCTTGATGTAGTTTAGAACTGGTTCTATACTATTAATATTAAAATGCCGTAAAATTTGAGCAAAGATTAAGAAAATGTATATGAGTGTGTGTACATTTTGTGTGTGTACATTTTATAAACAAAAATGTTTATGTTCTCCAAACCTCTTCTCTTTTCCCACCCCTAACCCCCGCAAAATAATAGAAAACATCTGGTATTGTCCTGACATCGGCCAGATCAAAAATGGCTTCTGCAAGTGCATGGGCGAGGGCACGGCAGACCTACAACTATGCATGCCCTACCACAGAGGAACTCAAATCCAGTGCACATGTCTCCAGGGTTACAAGCTGCAGGGAGTAGACACTTTGACTTGCATCCATAGTTCCAACCCCAACATTGGAGTCTGGGACTGGGAGTCTCCCAGGTGTTACAAGGACTTTGGTCTGTAAATATATTCCTACACTACTCTTTGTATATTTGTGTGTAGCTTAGGCATTGTGAACATGATTAATAATTTTGAGGTACTGGTTAGATTCCAGCTGGAGACAAGAGTAATTTAGAAAGCAGTGGCAAACTACTGAACACAGAATTGCCTGATAAAAGCAAGACAATCAGCAGATACTGGGGTTTGTTCTGCAATATCCTCTAAAGGATGTGCACTCAGCTAAACTCCTTTTTTAACTCATTTGCTACCAAGCAGCTCACCACGCATGTGTTGACTTTTACGTCTTCACAATCATTATCGTGCACTTTGTATGCCAGTATGGTTCGCATTTTATTCTACCATTCTGCTGCCATATCCTGTGTAATTGTTTCAAAATGTGTACTTTTGGCCTCTCTTATCAACGTTTGTCTTAGGATTTTTTTGGATGTTTCGTTTGTTCAGTACATTTGTTTCCCATTTAGGTCCCTGTTTGATAATTCTCTCTTTGTTTCTCTTCAGGATGTGCCCAATATAATCCCATCTTTATCCTAATACAGTTCATATCAGCAGTTTTCCAGAAATTTCTCTTACCTCTTTGTCTTTCTTGAATTCTTCCCATTTAATATTCATCAATTTCCTTAGCATTTGTTTTCAAATGTATTTACATCTTGTTCCATGTCTTTAATTGTTCTTTAAGATTCACTAACATATGTTGAAATAACATTAGAGCTGAAAATATATAACTTAGTTTCTCTGTATGGGTTCCTGAGTCCCATTGTGGGGAAAACAAAAATAAACCTACTCCCCCCCCCCCCCCCCCCCCTTCCCTCCGACAAGCATGTCATAAGAGTCAACTAATTAGGAGCTTCCTTCAAAGTCGGAGTGCATCTGCCTGAGAGGCAAGGAACCAACAGTCTGCATACAAATTAGCAAGATCTGCAAAGCGGATGCACACACAGAACTTAGGTCCTGGAACCAAGCCAAAGTCCAGAAATGGATGAACAGCCAGGTCTTTCTGCCGGGGTTTTCAGCTGGTGAATGTAAACATAACTTGGTTTTAAAAGTATATAATTTACAGTTTCACAGTTTGTTCAGGCTGTTACAAGCTGCAGTGTATATCATAATTTCTTTCATTATGTTCTCTATGACTTTGTTTTGGGGGGGGGGGGGGAGTGCTACGGGTTGCCAGGTATTGGCAGTACCTTTGGTGTTGGGAGCATGTCATGTCCTTTTCAGGACAGCATACCTGTTTTAAAATAGCCAAAATATCTCCGATTTTGAGGCATGATGCTGTTCTTCTAGATGTTCAGATCATTTCACTTCAAGTAAAAGCTTTTGGGAGACATTGGGTTCAGTTATATCTGCCTGGTACCGAAGGAGTTAAAATATATTTTTTTCTGTCTATTGTCAGTTTTTAAATTTAAAAAAAAAATGTTTTTGATTTGGGTAAATGTTTTTCTTTTTTACCTTCAGTGATGTTGGCACATTGTGTTTTTGTGGTTTACAACTTTGTTGTGATATCAGTGCCTTTTGGTTCAAGACATCTGATTTAAGTAAACCCTTAATAAGTCACATTTTACAACATGTTTGTTGAGGGGCAGTGTGTCTACTATCTCTTCCTCTCTCCCCCAGTAGGACCTGCTTAGTACTTTGCCTCTGCTTTCTGAACACTTCAGTGGTCACACCATTGTCAAAATTAATGAAAATTTGTCTGCTATTAAATTGCTTCCAGTTGTCTTTGAACCTTGGTATATCAGGGTTGTGAAACTGCATTTATCACCCTTAAGCCACAAATGCCAAAAAAAAAATTATATTTTTTGTAAATTAAAAAAATATATCTTAGAGATTTCTGTGTCCTTTTTGTAACTCATAAGTTGCCAGTGCCACTTCCAGTATAGAAGTGGACTATTCCACATCAACCATTGTTTTTCTGATTGTATAACTGCTTTCCCCAATCTTTATTTCTTCTTCTTCGTCCTTCACCGGCTGTGAATTCCGGCAGAAGGTCCCGGTATTTTGTCCATTTGGACTTTCGGCTTTTACCTGGACCTGAGTGTTGCGTGTACATCCGTTTTACTGGCTTATTGTTTGCCGTTCCCTGCCTCACCGGCAGATGTACTCTTAGTCTCTAACTTCGAGGGAATGAAGAACTGATTACCTACATCAGTATGAAGCATTCTACATTTTTTAGTGCACCTTATCGGAAGGGAAAAAACTGGAGTATGTTGTTAGAGGTGGAAAGTTGCAGAAGAAAACCAAAAGCGAAGATTATTGATTTAATGGCATAGAAGAATATACATGTTTGGAATGACTGATACTACAAAAGACAGACAGCTGTGGATAGAAATGATTACCAGTTACCAACATCACATGACATGGATTTTACAAGGAAGGAACTTACCCTTCGTAAAGTAAAGATCCCTTTTTTACGCCTTTGGCGCATCGGGCATATGGGAAGAGCACCCTATATTTTTACAGACCAATCAGCACTACCCCGGCAGTCCTTCACAAAGCATTGTATTAATTACGTCTGCAATTTTGCTTCATAATTAGTCTATAGTTGATCAACTCTCATGAATAATTTGCTTCCTCTCAGACCCTGGCAGCGATATAGACTTGCTACCTGATGGACAGAATGGTGGAAAGTCGTTCAATTCTGGGGACATAAATGATGGCAAGAACAAGGTGGGCTGTTCTTTGTTGTGTATGATGCATAACACATTTTTTTTAAACTGTTAATCTGTAGAGTTTATAACATTGCCAGTCAGAGGGAAGAAATCTGGAATCTGGTTTACAGTTGCGACCCTGCCTGACAAACTATGGGATGTTGGTGAAGACCTCTGGTGCACTGTCCTATTTTGTCACTGATGCTGGAATAGAGTAGCTAATGTTGATCGCTGGAGAAATTCGTTTTTAACAGTTATTTATTCATACTCACCAGCAACAATAAGTGTCAGTTTTTCAGAACATAAATAGCAAGTATTTTTAACTCTTGTCTTCTTCTTTACATTTACCAGCCGTAAAGGCCAGCAGAAAGTTCTGGTTGTTTGCCCACTTCTGGACTTTGATTTTTTTCCAGGACTTGAGTTTGCCTGCACATCTATTTTAATGATCTGGCATATGTGTATGCAGACTGTTGGTTCCCCACTTCCCAGGCAGATGCACCCCAACTTCAAAGGAAACACCTGTAATTAGTCACCTTTTATGCCATGCTTCTTAGGGAGCAGCGGGTCTTTTTTTTTTGTCGCCAAAATCTGGCGCCAGAACCCGGACATGGAGCCAAATTATTGCATGACTTTCAGAGAGGCCAAAATATAGTTCCGGAGTTGTGATTAGGGTAAATGTTTATTAAGTAAGTAAAATAAATAAAGATCCCTGTTCACGCCTTAAGGCGCATTGGGCAAATGGAAAGAGCATCCCATATTTTTTATAGACCAATCGGCACTAGGTGGGTAATGTGGTCAGCATTATGGTGGCTGTCTTTACTTATCCAGGGCATATATCCTGGTACCCTTTTTAGGCTAGGCCGACCTGTGACGCCCCATACCATGATAAAAATCCACACAGCCAGCAGTGGGTTTCGATCGCTGTACGTGTCGGACTGGCAACACCTAAGCCACGGGTGCTGCTTTTATATACTATTTTTATATTTAAGATTTTATAATTAACTTTGGCTGCCAGTTTGGCCCAGCTTAAAATGAGTACAAGGAAGTGTCCTGGGATGTAAAGTTGCTTGGCATAATGTTGACCACATAACCATTGAGTGATGATTGGTCTGTAAAATGTCAATCTAGGACTATATGCTCATTGTGCGACTTGAGTAAAAAAGGTCCTTCTGCTTTCTTACCATTTTATAAAAGATATCCCCCGTGTGGGTTCCGGGGCCCCATTGTGGGGAAAACAAGAATAGACCCACTCCCTCCCCAAAAGCATGTCGTAAGAGTCGACTAATTGGAGAGCTTCTTTTGAAGTCGGAGTGCATCTGCCGGAGAGGCAAGGAGCCAACAGTCTGTATTCAAGATAATGAGATCTGTAAAACTGATGCACACGCAACACTCGGGTTCTGGAGCAGGACTGCAGTTCAGTAGTGGACGAGCAACCAGTACTTTCCGCCAGAGTGTACAGCTGGTGAACGCAAAGAAGATGAAGATAGAAGATATACCTGGATTTTCAGTCAGCGAGCATAATTTAAACTTTGGGATACTTGGATGACGGTAACTTGAGGGGGAAATAACCACTGCAGAATATCATTGATGTCAGTCAGGTGAAAGGTGTAAGCTAAAGTTGAGAATATCGACTTCATTGTTATCACATTTGGCTTGGTATCTCTCTGCAGAGCTGCAAGCCACCAGCCAGAAAAGTTGCACAGAGCACGAACTCCAAAGTTCCAGCATTAATCCCCAGGGATCTCTGTAAAAATTGCACTCATGAACTAAATGACACATCCGTGAAAGGAACCCATGACCTTCAGAGCACTAGACAAATAGCTTGACCACTACGCCGCAGCATCATGGTGTTTTAGGGCACAGAATCTTACCACTTTTGAAGATTCACCCAGATCACATTTGTAGTAAGCTAGGACACTAACCGATATGTCACCAGGACTCACAAAGAATCGGATACGTTACATATTGATAATTGTTTGACTTCATCCAGGTGTCATCTTTGGTGATTGTAGTGACCACTGCTTGTAGTGTTCTTGGAGTGCTACTTCTCATCATGGTTATTGTAGTATTTCGGAGAAAAAAGCCACGGGCTCATCTCTTCCAGCAAGGACCAGCCCCTCCGCCCTATGCTCGAGTGCACGACAATTCATTGGGTAAGACTGTCGATTTTTTGTAGTTCTTTTTCTTCTTTTGTCAATATCTGCTTTGTGTCGCAAGTGTTACAGTTTAACAAAGGATGGATGGCCAGGCTAGGGTGCACTCGGTTGCTTGGTATGCTGGGATGTTTTGAGGTCTTAGGTTCTTCTGAGCTCCCTCCACTTCGATGTTTCAATTTTTATGTTGTACACACTACTGGGGGAGCCTCCGTGATCTAGTGGCTAGAGGCTCGCCTGCAGATCAGAAGGTCATGGGTTCAGTTCCTAATAAGAGCCGGATGTTTTTCAAAAATAACCTTGGCTCCCAGGTCAACTCAGCCATGAGTAAGTACCAGGTGCAGTCCTAGGAAGTAGAGGCGGCCGGCGTGATGCTGACCACATCACCCACCAAGTGCTGTTTGTTCTATTTAATATAGGTCTAGCCCTATATACCCAATAAGCCTGAAAGGTGTGGAAAAGGTTCCTTTTACTTGTATACTCACTACTGGCGTTGCTGGATTCATTCTCAGGGGTGTTTGAACCATTTCAATCTCAGTTTCACAGTGAATTTAAGAGCGGTTATTGTTCTAATAAATAGTTCTTCAGATTAAATGGTTTGAACATGTGTCAAGACTCCACCAGATAAGTGCACCACTGAGAGCCCTGTCACTTAGATGTACTAGAAGCAGACCTAGAGATCGACCACCTGAGCGGTGAACTGCTGGAATACCCATAACTGTAAACACCAGCATCAACATAGCACATACCAAGGCTCGTACCCCATGTCTCTACAAAACTGGACTCTGAAAGGCAGAATAGGACTACAGAAAAAAAAACCAAGATTTAAATTTATATCATATATTAGTATTACATATTTTCATATCCCCCCTTTTAAAAAACTAGTGTATCATATATTTCTTTCCTAAATCAGATGAGCATGATAGAATGGCATTAATGGCTTATGCAGACGCATCACGGATACACCTTCCTTCCTATGAAGAATCAGTCAGGTCGTTGAGCAGCCTAGGAAGCAACACACCACCAGGAGGGTCAGTGGCTGGCCCAGGTTCAAGTCCCACAACATCCGAGTACCGAAGACTGCCGAACGTGCCTCCAGCTATTCGAGCAGCCAACCTGCAACACAGTGTTGGGGGAGACGGCAACAACAACATTAACCACAGCAACCGGCATTCAACTGTTACCACCAGTACCATGAACAGGGATGGGGTATCGGAAATATTTGGTTCTCTGGACACAGTAAATGTCAGCATGAGTGATGCTTCAACATCTGTGACAGTAGAGACATTTGATTCAGGGGTGTCTAACAGATCGATGGCTTCCCAGAGGGCAGCAGCTGGGAGCCTCAACTCTTCTGATGATCACATAGCTAGTGATGGTGAGTCAAACGCATTTTTATGTGGTTCTTTTTTGTTTTTGTTTCTTGAATATGCCTCCTGATGATCACATAATTATTGATGGTTAGTCATAACATATTTTGTGTGTACGTGCATGCGTGCGTGTGCATGCATGCGCACATTTTTGTGTGAGTCGTACACATTTTCTTTTTGTTTAATTTTATTTTTCACGATGCCTCCTTGTGATCACATAATTATTGATGCTGATTCATACACATTTTTAATTTAACAATGTCCGTTGGTGTTCACCTAGCTATTGATGGTGCCGCATACTCATTTGACATTTTTTGGGGGGATCAGAAAGCTAGTGATGTGAGGCATACTTATTTTAATATTTGTTGTTCAGATGTTGTCAAGTAGGAGTTACTATTAAACTATGGCCAAAAAAAGCAACAACAAAAAATTCCATTTACTTTTTGTGTTTGCCTCTTTTGTGGGGAGGGGTGGGGGGTGTCTTTGAACCTGAGGATTTAGGGGAGGGGTGGGGGGTGTTTTTGAACCTGAGGATTTAGGGGAGGGGTGGGGGGTGTCTTTGAACCTGAGGATTTAGGGGAGGGGTGGGGGGTGTCTTTGAACCTGAGGATTTAGGGGAGGGGTGGGGTGTCTTTGAACCTGAGGATTTAGGGGAGGGGTGGGGGGTGTCTTTGAACCTGAGGATTTAGGGGAGGGGTGGGGGGTGTCTTTGAACCTGAGGATTTAGGGGAGGGGTGGGGGGTGTCTTTGAACCTGAGGATTTAGGGCTGCATGACTAGGACAGTCGCCATTCACTCTGCGGGGTGTTTTTGTTGTTTGTTGGGGTTCCCAACAACAACAAACAAACACAAAAATATCCACGTTACAGAGGATTCAGACCTGGGTCTCCCACGTGGAAGCTCTGTTAACTATTCTGCCAGCTGCTTCCCAGATTATGTTATTTACAGAACCAAGCCCACCATTTTTTGGCTGTTGTAGTTTTTCTAGGTAGATTTGACGTTCAGTAGTTTGCTATTGCTTCCTGAAAGTCAGCTCTCAGTACTACTGTCAAAACCAACGCAAGACAAATCTGATTTCTGATGCTGGGATCAAACCTGGCATTAGGGAAGCACGTTCGATACGCCTAAGCTATCCACGCCTCAGGATACACAAAGACTTTTTGGGTGTTCTACCCCTGCTCCCTCCTCTATCTTTCTGTCTGACCCCTTTTCTACCCGTCTTTCTTTCTCATTCTTTAACTTTTCTCCTTTTCTTTCTTGGTACTTCCTCTATCTTTGTATTTTCACTTTACATTCGTTCTGTGAATTTTGATATGTCAACATAACACGCTTGATATATAAAGTACAATTGCTGTATGAAAGATTAATGCTTAAAAGGGCAGAATGTAAGACGGGCCTGTATGCCCAAATTGTAACCCAATGGAAAAAAAGTTAATTCATTATTTAGTTTGTTCTCCCTCCTCTTAGTCGCTAAGAGTTCATATGAAGTACACTGCCTATGAGTCGCTGTGGTGTAGCGGCTAGATGCTCGCCTGCAAATTAGAAGGTCGTGGATTTGGGTTCTGATGGAACCGGGCTTTCTACAAAAATGACCTTGGCTCCCAGGTCGACGCAGCCTTGCCTGGGTACCAGGTGCAGCTCTGGGAGGTAAAGGATGCCAGCATGATGTTGACCACATCATCCACCAATTGCCGATTGGTCTATAAAATATAAGTCTAGCCCTACATGCCCAATACACCTGTAGGCGTGGAAAAGGATCCTTTCCTTTACTTTACTTTACTTTACTTTACTTTACTTTACTTTACTTTACTTTACTTACACAAGCCTGTACAAATGTTTACATTTTCTGGTGTTTTCTCTCAACAGATGCTCCACTTCTGGATTCCAACTCCCAGAGAGAAGTGGATGTTGTCAGTGTTAGTTCCAACCCAAGTCGGTCCAGCAAGGATGACCAGTAGTCACCAGACTCCTAGACCTGTTGTGTCGACATGAACATTTGATTTTTCTACACTATTCACTCCTGCACTTTCAGAAAGAAGCAATCTTTCTGCTTTTTACTTGCGCACTGTGTATAGATTTACTCTTGCAAATAAAGGCATTCATGATTTACTTGGGAGTGAACAGAGGGTCTTGGAGAAAAGACAAGCAGACTTTTTTTTTTTTCAATCATGTTGCAGCTGACCCCATCAATATGGGATCTCTTTGTTGGCTAATGAGGAAAGAGACAGAACACTTGTGAGAATGTCCTGAGTGCAGAGATGTCACTTTTTGATTCATTCATTCATGAAGTATTTTCAAATACTGATGCATGCCACAGGAGTTGACCAGTCAGGTTTGTTTGCTTCATGAACAATGACCACAGTCGAATACTTCCTGTTGTCTAGACTCATCCCCTAGCAAAGAAATTAATGTATTGTTGTTGATTGCTCCATGCATCATTCACTGTTGTGTCAAGTTGTGCTTGGGCTTTGAATGGAGGGAGTAACTGGTAAATGTGTTGTGGTCACTTTGTATACAGTGGGTTATGGTCTGCTGTTGGAATCATGTGTTTTGTTGTTGGCATTGGTGTTGGTGGGAACTGACGTGGTGTAGTCTGCAAATCTGAAGGTCGTGGGTTCAGATCTGCATGTCACCAGATCCTTTTTCTACATGACCCTGTCTCCTAGGATGACCCAGCCTCCATTGGGTGCCAGGAAAAGTCCTTTAAAGCCCCACTCCGGCTGGTGCTGGGGGCTCTAATGTAACCTCTATGAGTTGAACAGGGTTTCTGGGACTTGTCCCTGAGTGATCCTCATCTTACTGGTGGCACTTTGTGACACAGAGTGTTTATCGCTCAGTGTGATGTCCTGGTGGGTTGAACGTCAGTCAGTCAGTCCTGATAGATAAAGGTGACTGTGTGATGTTGACTGCATCACTTATCGCGGGCAGGGTGGTCTGTACAAATAAGAGTCTGGCCTTATGTGCCAGATGCGCCACAGGCATGTACAAGGACGTTAATTTGGTGTTTATTTTATGGATATTGTTTTTGTTGTTGTTGAAACTCTGTTACTATTGTTAATTTTGTTGACGTTGAAACCTTGCCCCAAGCTGTAGGGCTGTAAGAGTTTTCTTTTGTCCAGCAAAGAAGTTCAGACTTACATATTTGTGACTAAGACCTGTTTTAAGTTAGTTGCATATCCTTTACAGGACGTAGCAGAACCGACACCAGCATTTTTTGGCTGTTGTGGTTTTTCTAGGTAAATTTTACATTCACTAGTTATCTGAATGGTCAGCTCTCAGTACCACTGTCGAAACCAATACAAGACTAATCGTCGGCAGCTGGGATTGAACCCAGCACCCTGGCATTACAAAGCACGTTCGCAACTTGTTAGCTAACAGTAATTCTTTCTTGTTTGTGACATAGCTTTACAACAAACCAATATCAGCCATTCCCCATGTTTTTAATTCATTTGTTTATTATATCTGAATTACTGATGTCTGAATCTGGAAATCCAAATAACACCCAGAGAAGAGAATTAAATGAAAAAGGTTGGGAAGGACGTGGTGGGCTAGAAGTGGTGAGGCGGCTTGGTGCGAGGTTGAGAAAGGTTTAGTTTTATTGTTGTTTCTAACTCATGTAGCATATTCCCAGCAAAATTAGTTGTTGAAATGTAGGAAAGGATCAGTCCTTTAAAAGAAATTAGTTGTTGAAATGTAGGAAATGATCAGTCCTTTAAAAGAAATTAGTTGTTGAAATGTAGGAAATGATCAGTCCTTTAAAAGAAATTAGTTGTTGAAATGTAGGCAATGATCAGTCCTTTAAAAGAAATTAGTTGTTAATTTGTAGGAAATGATCAGTCCTTTAAAAGAAATTAGTTGTTAATTTGTAGGAAATGATCAGTCCTTGAAAAGAAATTAGTTGTTGAAATGTAGGCAATGATCAGTCCTTTAAAAGAAATTAGTTGTTGAAATGTAGGAAATGATCAGTCCTTTAAAAGAAATTAGTTGTTGAAATGTAGGAAATGATCAGTCCTTTAAAAGAAATTAGTTGTTAATTTGTAGGAAATGATCAGTCCTTTAAAAGAAATTAGTTGTTGAAATGTAGGCAATGATCAGTCCTTTAAAAGAAATTAGTTGTTGAAATGTAGGAAATTATCAGTCCTTTAAAAGAAATTAGTTGTTGAAATGTAGGAAATGATCAGTCCTTTAAAAGAAATTAGTTGTTGAAATGTAGGAAATGATCAAAACTAGCCCTTACTTTGAATTTGGAGTGCATCTGTCTGACAGACAAAGAACCGAGAGGCTGCACAGAAATGAGACAGATCTGTAAAAATGGATGTACATGAAAAACTCAAATCCTGGAACAGAGTCCAGATGTGGACAGCAAACAGGACTTTTTTGCCAGAGTTTACATCCAGTGAACGCAAACAACCAACCAACAATCGAAACTATTTAATAAGGTCACAGAAAGCATTTTATTGTATGTTAATAGAACAAGTGTGCTACATTATAAAAAACTAAGTATGTGCGCTATTAGTTTGCAGTGTCCCTGATATATTTTCACAAGCACTTTCACTGAACACAGCGTAAAATATTTTCTTTAGCCTTTTGCCCCCAAAACCGTTGGTAGGAAACAGCCCATAATCTTATTTTTAAAGAAATATGTGAAGGAGGGTGAGAATTAAATCGGATACTCTCCCTTGGTCTTTAACAAAATATATATGGTGATTCATATCATGATTCTGTTGCTATAGGACCGCTAAGATTAAATTACGACATTTCATTGCCCCTGCCCCCCCGCCTCATGCTAGTTTAGCAAATACAATCATACCTGGTCCTCCTCAACACTGCGCAGGGGCAAACAGTACCAGTGCCATTGACTAGGCTTTTCAGGGACAGACCGGTACAACAATGCTAGTTTAATGGCGTTTTTAGGGATTTGTAATGGCTGGCGGCAATTCGGGGTGGTGGAAGGGGGTGGGGATGATGTCTTGGAGCAAAATGTTTAAAGCGGTAAATTGATTTCCTTTCCTTTGTATGGAGACAGTGGGTGAAACGCCATATTTCAGATGTTTATATTTAGGCTATGGGCTGCTACATGAAAGTTTGACACCCTTAATCAGGGGTGAATCATATCTTGGATGCCACTGCAACAGTTTAATCCCAGACAGCCTGTTCAGCCTTCTAAGAGGTTGTACCATATTTTTTTTCCATGTTTAAGACTGTATTTTCTCAAATATAAGTTTACAATTGGGGTCTGTCTCAAGCACGAAATGTGATTAAAATATGCATTTCTTAATTTGGGTTAAAAATTGATTTCTTAATGTTGGCCTTTAAAAAAAATAGAGGTCATCTCATACATAGGGACATGTTTTGCATGGAAAAATGTGGTAATCATGCGCTGCCAAAGGCAAGTAAGGATTATATAGACATAATATAAGGAAGACAGGAGTAATGATAAAGCTAGCATGGGGTCTAAAACAGGAGTCACCATGGATACAAAGTCTTTCACTGTCACTTACCGGGATATTTGTTGATGTGAGTTTGCTTTGGTGGCTCCATCTGGCCATAGACTTGAATTCTGATTCTCAGTTGTACGCCAAATGCACATGACTATCTGTTTTCATTTTACGTTGGTTTTCACAGGAAACACATTTCATTCACAAACCTAATGCAACAGTATGTTTTGAATTTGGTTAACGCTTCCAAATCATTTTTTAATTTCTCATGCCTCATAACTGTGTGCAATGTTAATTAATTCTTTGCATTTTTATTGTCTGGAATCTGTTAATACCTATATTTTCCTTTATATTTAAACTAATTATTTATATGTATCTGATGTTATAATTTCAAATACTGTAACTGTTCCCCCTTGCTGCTTTGGTGAATTGTGTCTATGCTAAATTGGTTATTGTTTCGAATGTGTAAACATTTGCACATTGTGTGTGTTTTTGTTGTTGTTATTGTTGATCATTCAATGTACAAGCTCTTCTTATATTATTGATTTATGTAATTTACATGGGGGGAGACAAACAAGTTGAGAGCACATCTTTTATAATGAGAATTGTACAGCATGCATTGTTTCGTGATTTAAAATCTTTATAGTGTTTATTGTTTTTTTTTTTTTACTTCTATCAATGCACTAACTTGTATATGAATTGTTACACTAACTATTTTTAAAAAATAATTATTTGATCAGATTTGTTTGCAGCGGTCACTACTGCTGTGTGGATTTGCTAAAAAAAAAAAAAGAGAGAGAGAGAACTATTAGAAAAAAAAGACTAGTTTTTTTTAATGCATGCGAGAAAGGGAATAATGCGTTGGGGGGCAACACAATAAAAAAGGGGAAAAGCAGCTGACACAATACAAAGACAGAGACAAGAGAGATATATAAAAGGACTGACCGTTGCAACAGCGACATTTATTCACATTTCTTCTTCTTCTTCTTCGTGTTCTTCTGTAAACTCTGGTGGAAAGTTCTGGTTGTTCATCCACTTTTGGACTGCAGTCCTGTTCCAGAAGCTGAGTGTTGCGTGTCCACCCGTTTCACAGATCTGACTCATTTGTATGCAGACTGCTGGTTCCTTGCCTCTCAGGCAAATGCACTCTGACTTCAAAGGAAGCTCCGAATTAGTTGACTCTTACGACATGCTTTTGGGTAGGCAGTGGGCTATTCTTGTTTTCCCTATAACTGGGCCCTGGAACCCACACGGGTTTATTTACATTTGTTATAAGTGTTCTCAAAGGATGAAGTTTACTCCTTAAACTTCCACAATTCCCCTACAAGTTTTTTTTAAAAACTGTTATACAAACTTAATGTTGCTTTTTAAATAATGTAAACCAAAAGTTTACATTGTAGTAATTTTCTAGCAGTTTGATATGATCTATTAACTACCCTCTTTTTTGAGTTTATATATGATGAAAATGTAATTCCTGGATCAGTGGAAGGTACCTGGAGCACATATGGAGACATTCATGT